CATACAGCTGTTCCGGAAATTTGCAGCTAGGAGATCCTTGTCCAAAAATTGATGATCTCAGATAATGCCACCAATTTGTAGCTGGTGTTCAAAAACTTGATGAAATTAATAAGAGTATGAAAGTACAGTCTTTGTTGACCCAGCGAGGGTGTGTCTGGAAATTTATTACTCCCAGAGCCCCTTGGCAGGGAGGACTGTACGAAAGAAAGATAGGTACAGTGAAAAAGATGTCCCTTGTAAGGTGCTACACAGGAAGAGAATTAATTTGGAGGAATTTTTGTGCAGTGTTGGTGGAGGCAGAGATCGGGTAAACAATCGCCCTCTGTCATACATGAGCGACCACTCCTGACACGGAGATCCTGACTCCCTCTCACCTAATATGCGGAAAAAAGGTTAGAAGCTGCACCTATCTATAGAGTAATCCCGAGGGAAGTGATGAGGATTACAATAACGTGACCGTGTTGAGTGCAAGTTCAAGATGTTAAATAAGGTAATTACTCATTGGTCCGATGAGTGGCGTAAAGAAATCTTCTTACACTACGGAACACTTTTATGGTGCGCCAAGGCAGTAAACCGACAGAACATTTAACCAGGTGACATTGTGTTAATTGATACTGAAAAAACATCGAACATTGTGGCCTCTGGGCAAGGTAGTTACATTAAAACCCAGATGCACAAGGTGTTGGTCAGAAACGTCCCAAAATGTTGTGTCGTAGTCAGGAAAGTTTTCGTACCATTAATAAATTAATTCCCCCCAGAATTAAATAAGTTCAATCCAGTGCAGATGGAAATCTAAGGGGAAAGTGAAACGAGTGATATTGAAGACACTGACCGAGTAATGCAAGAAGAAATTGTAGTAAGACCCACTAGGAAAACAGCAGCGCAATCTAGAGAGGGCTGGAATCGTCTCCTGGAGGAAGACGCAATTTAAGTCGTCTAACAACGACTTCCGCCCGGCTGCAGTGTGGAAATTATTTAATTTCCGAAGCTATAGTGCCTAATAAGTGTTTAATGTGTTGACTTGTTGACTTGAATGGAACCAACTGGGTTCCCGCTGCGCCTGCGCAGATGTGGGGGGGTATAGGTCGAACAGGGGCACGGGGGGGCGGGCAGTGTTTTGAATTTTAGTAGGAGGCTGTGAAAACCTGGGATCACGAAATTGGCGTTCACGGCGGCCCTAAGGATTAATATGGGCCTCACTTCATAATAGAAGTGTCGTAACTGTTCCTGGTGAAGAGTGAGGGAACGTGATTTACGGGACCACCGTAAAAATGTGGTAAAATTAGTGAATAATGGTTCAACCGGGTGTGACTGGTGCCGCGGCCATGGTGTGTGTCCAGGGGAAATACCCGTGTGGGTTTAAACCTCAAATCATCGGCCTCAGATCTTAATGAGTGACCTCTAATGTGTATAATAATTATGAGACTTAAATCGTCTTGTGAATGGTAATGTAATCAGTGATAATAACATTGAGTTAAGAGAATGCGGGATGTGAAATAGATCGCCCCGCTCCGAGTGAACCATGATTTTCGTACCGAGGATAGTGAAGCTTTATGGAATCACAACTTCTAAACCGGGAAAAAACCGACGGATACCTCGTCCCGCTGGAATAAGAACCGTGTCGGTGTAGCAGGACATCGAAATGGATGGTGAATGGAGGGAATAAGGAGTATCAATCACCCACAGTTAAGTAACCTTCTAGTTATAGCAGACTGTACTGGCCAGTTAGGTATGTTGTAATTGGATAGGTTTATGGGGATCCAGCTACATCAAGTGACCACCAGAGAATATCTAGTAGTGGTGAGATTATGTACAAGTGTTTTCCTTGATGGATATATCCATGTGTAACCTACCCCACCCCCCTTCATTCAGTTAATCTAATATAATCTATACAGTCCACAATTAATTAGTAGCACCGTACTTGTGGGTGCTATCCAATCCATACTGGTCTCGGATAGATATGGATAAGATTGTGAGGTCGAAGGAACCACTTGCCGTGACCAGGGGTGGTTAAGTTTTCTCACATGTCTACACGGGGTGACTACGGTAAACAATATGGTTGTCTCCCAATGAGTTTACTTGTAAGCATGTAATGTTGAGGTACATAAAGGTAATCACCCTATAAAATTTTCCATATCATACTTCACTTTTAATAACTATATTTATTTGCTATAAATGGTGAAAAACATGCAAAATATTAGAAGACACAGACCAGCCAGACTATGGGAAACAAAAGAGGGGAGTAAAAGGACACAAGTGCAACTAATGTGACATTTTATTGTGGCAACGTTTCGCTCTCCAGGAGCTTTGTCAAGCCGATACAAACAGCATATGGACACAGAGGGTATATAAAGGCTCAGAGTGAGGTGCGATACTAATGGTAGTAGTAGTAGTAGTAGTGACAAAAGTTGTTGTAGTAGTAGTAATACAATATGGTAGAGCAATTAATTCGTACATGAGTAAAAGGATATAAAAGCTATTACTTGGGTAACATAAAAATAGGTTAGACAAATATAGACTGGATAGAGAAGGCCTGTTTCAGTGTTCACTCTCTGTAATGTGCTTTGTGTAGTATAACAGGAGAGACTATGTGATGGCAGGGTTTACTGTTTTCAGGAGGATTCTTGCTAAGACTTCAGAGATGGTGAAGCTGCCGTTGTTTTGTTTAATTGCATTCGAAACAACGATCAGTGCTGATTCGAGGCACTTGCGTCTACAGAAATTAGTTTCTTTGATCACTAATTGGGCGTCCCTGAGTTTCATGAGATGATTGGTGGAATTTCGGTGTTGTACACATGCGTTGTTCAAGTTATCGTTCCTACATGCGTAAATGTGTTCATTGAGGCGGGTGTCGAGGTTTCTTGCTGTTTCACCTACGTAAATCTTGTCACAGCCTCCACAGGGTATAGTGTAAACTCCTGCATTGACTGGTTCGTGGTGCTTTGATTTTGTCCTGGTTAGATCCTTTACTGAAGTGCTAGAAGCGATGGCGACTCTGGTGTTAGCTTGTGAAAGTACTTTTGAGACGTTCAGTGCAACCTGACTGTTGGGAAGAATTTTAACTTTGTTGGGAGTGGTGTTGGTGCGTGGAGAATTAATGATCTGAAGAGCTCTTTTCTTGCAGTCTTTGATGAAAAAGGAAGGAAAATGTAACTCAGTGAAGGTTTGGTGAATGTATATCCATTCCTCGTCAAGAAACTCAGGACTGCAAATTCTTGACGAGGAATGGATATACATTCACCAAACCTTCACTGAGTTACATTTTCCTTCCTTTTTCATCAAAGACTGCAAGAAAAGAGCTCTTCAGATCATTAATTCTCCACGCACCAACACCACTCCCAACAAAGTTAAAATTCTTCCCAACAGCCAGGTTGTACTGAACGTTTCTAAAGTACTTTCACAAGCTAACACCAGAGTCGCCATCGCTTCTAGCACTTCAATAAAGGATCTAACCAGGACAAAATCAAAGCTCCACGAACCAGTCAATGCAGGGGTTTACACTACCCTGTGGAGGCTGTGACAGGATTTATGTAGGTGAAACAGCAAAAAACCTCGACACCCACCTCAATGAACACATTTACGCATGTAGGAACGATAACTTGAACAACGCCTGTGTACAACACCGAAATTCCACCAATCATCTCATGAAATTCAGGGACGCCCAATTAGTGATCAAAGAAACTAATTTCTGCAGACGCAAGTGCCTCGAATCAGCACTGATCGCTGTTTCGAATACAATTAAACAAAACAACGGCAGCTCCACCATCTCTGAAGTCTTAGCAAGAATCCTCCTGAAAACAGTAAACCCTGCCATCACATAGTCTCTCCTGTTATACTACACAAAGCACATTACAGAGAGTGAACACTGAAACAGGCCTTCTCTATCCAGTCTATATTTGTCCAACCTATTTTTATGTTACCCAAGTAATAGCTTTTATATCTTTTTACTCATGCATGAATTAATTGCTCTACCATATTGTATTACTACTACTACTACAACTTTTGTCACTACTACTACTACTACTACTACTACTACTACTACTACTACTACTACTACTACTACCACCACTAGTATTGCACCTCACTCTGAGCCATTATATACCCTCTGTGTCCATATACTGTTTGTATCGGCTTGACAAAGCTCCTGGAGAGCGAAACGTTGCCACAATAAAATGTCACATTAGTTGCACTTGTGTCCTTTTACTTTACATATTGTCGGTAATTCTACCAACATTATTACAAGAGGGGAGCCATAACCTCTCCAGGGAAAGAGGAATTAATAAAGGGGATGTAAATAGCGTGATAAAAATATCTAACATAGACAGGACTCGGAGCAATGGTTTTAAATTGGAAAATTTCAGATTCAGGAAGGATATAGGAAAGCAGTGGTTTGGTAATAGAGTTGTGGATGAGTGGAACAAACTCCCGAGTACAGTCATAGACGCTAAGACGTGTAGTTTTAAAAATAGGTTGGATAAATACACGAGTAGGTATGGGTGGGTGTGAGTTGGACCTGACTAGCATGTGCTACTAGGTCGGATGCTCTGACCTTACTAGGTCAAGGCAGTGGCTTACGCCGGTGTGAGAATTGGACCTACCTCGCATAGGCCAGTAGGCCTGTTGCAGTGTTCCTTCTTTCTTATGTTCTTATCAGTAAAATGGGTAGCTGGGTGTTAGTCGACTGGTGTGGGTCACATCCTGCGACAAAAACAGACCTTATTTGCGAGAAATGCTCAGCATAACAAGCGGCTTTCTATATAGTAGTATGTCATTAATGTCAGCTAGGACTGTATACCTTGTACATGAACCAGTAGTAAATAAAAAAAATATTGTTATATAAAGGTGTGAGAGGAGGAGGAGTTTGAGGTAATCAGTCCCTCAGCCTGGAATTGATGTGTTCAGTCCGTCAATCTTGTAGAAAGTACAGCATAATGGAGTATACTGAAGTTTAATAGAATATTTTCAAGCTATTTTAATATCTGGTAATACATTTTTCTCAGGGTGCAGTGCCCAGCCATTCTGTGATGATGGTTATGGAGTGTGCAGGGAAAGATGTGGCACAGAGGAGCGTCATTTACATTGGGGTTGCAAGGAAAGTGGTTGCAAGTGTTGCACCTCACGTCTAGCAACATGTAGAAACGTTGCAAGTTGTCCTGGGGAGTGCAGGGACCGTAGATTATGCTTCCAACCTATAGCAAATTACACATGTGATGGACCTGACTGTATGTGTTGCGACAGTAAGTACTTAACTCTTTTTCATTGTCTGTAAAATACTAAACGTAGGTGTGTGTGTGTGTGTGTGTGTGTGTGTGTGTGTGTGTGTGGTGTGTGTGTGTACTCGCCTAGTTGTACTCATCTAGTTGAGGTTGCGGGGGTCGAGTCCGAGCTCCTGGCCCCGCCTCTTCACTGATCGCTACTAGGTCACTCTCCCTGAGCCGTGAGCTGTATCATACCTCTGCTTAAAGCTATGTATGGATCCTTCCTCCACTACATCGCTTCCCAAACTATTCCACTTACTGACTACTCTGTGGCTGAAGAAATACTTCCTAACATCCCTGTGATTCATCAGTGTCTTCAGCTTCCAACTGTGTCCCCTTGTTTCTGTGTCCAATCTCTGGGAAAATCCCGTCTTTGTCCACCCTTTTCAATTTCTCTCAGTTTTTGTATGTCGTTATCATGTCCCCCCTATCTCTCCTGTCCTCCAGTGTCGTCAGGTTGATTTCCCTTAACCTCTCCTCGTAGGACTACCCCTTAGCTCTGGGACTAGTCTTGTTGCAAAAATTTGCACTTTCTCTAGTTTCTTCACGTGCTTGGCTAGGTGTGGGTTCCAAACTGGTGCCGCATACTCCAATATGGGCCTAACGTACACGGTGTACAGGGTTATGTACTCACCTATTTGGGACTCACCTATTTGTGGTTGCGGGGTCGAGTCCTAGCTCCTGGCCCCGCCTCTTCACCGGTTGCTACTAGACCCTCTCTCTCCCCGCTCCATGAGCTTTATCAAACCTCGTCTTAAAACTGTTTTAAAGGTTTCCTGCCTCCACTACGTCATTTTCTAGGCCCATTCCACTGCCTTACAACTCTATGACTGAAGAATACTTCCTACTATCTCTCTGACTCATTTGTGTCTTCAACTTCCAATTGTGGCCTCTTGTTTCTGTGTCCCCTCCCTGAACACCTGTCCTTGTCCACCTTGTCTATTCCACGCAGTATTTTATATGTCGTTATCATGTCTCCCCTGACCCTCCTGTCCTCCAGTGTCGTCAGGCCGTTTTTCCCCCTTAATCTTTCTTCATAGGACTTTCCCCCTTAGCTCTGGAACTAACCTTGTTGCAAACCTTTGTACTTTCTCTAGTTTCTTGACGTGCTTTATCAAGTACGGGTTCCAAACAGGTGCTGCATACTCCAGTATGGGCCTGACATACACGGTGTACAGTGTCTTGAATGATTCCTTACTAAGGTGTCGGAATGCTGTTCTCAGGTTTGCCAGGCGCCCATATGCTGCAGCAGTTGTGTGTGTGTGTGTGTGTGTGTGTGTGTGTGTGTGTGTGTGTGTGTGTGTACTTGTTGTACTCAGCTACTTGTGGTTACAGGGATTGAGTCACAGCTCCTGGCCTCGCCTCTTCACAGGTCGCTACTAGGTTACTCTCTCCCTCCTCCATAAGCTTTATCATATTTCTTCTTAAAGCCATGCATGATTTCTGCCTCAACTACATCATTTTCCAGACTATTCCACTTCCTGACATCTTTGTGACTGAAGAAGTATTTCCTAACATCCTTTTGACTCTGAGTCTTTAATTTCCAATTGTGACCCCTTGTTGCTGTGTCCCGTATCGGGAACATCCTGTCTCTGTCCACCTTGTCGATTCCTCTCAGTAATTTATATGTCGTTATCGTATTCACCCTATCTCTCCTGTCCTCCAGTGCCGTCAGGTTGATTTCCTTTAATCTCTTTCCATAGGACATTCCCCTTAGCTACGGGATTAGTCTCGTTGCTAACCTTTGCACTTTTTCTAGTTTCCTGACGTGTTTGACCAGGTAGTGGCTCCAAACTGATGCTACATAAGGTGTACAGAATCCTGAACTATTCCTTACTTAGAGGTCGAAAGGCTATTCTTAGGTTTGTTAGTCGCCCGTATGCTGCAGCAGTTATTTGGTTGATGTGCGCCTCAGGAGATGTGTTCGGTATTATACTCACCCCAAGATACTTTTCCTTGAATGATGTTTATAGTCTTTGGCTCCCTAGACCATATTCTGTCTGCTGTCTATTTTGCCCTTCCTCGATCCTCATCACTTTGCACTTGGCTGGGTTGAACTCCATAAGTCATTTACTGGACTAGGCCTGTAGCCTGTCAGATCTCTTTGTAGTCCTGCCTGGTCCTTCTCCGATTGAATTCTTCTCATTAACTTGATATTATCTTCAAACAGACACTTCCAAGTCTATTCCTTCTGTCATGTCATTCACATATACCAGAAACAGAACTGGTCCAAGGACTGATCCCTGTGGAACCCAGCTCGTCACAGGCGCCCACTCCAATACTTCATTGTGTACCATAACTCGCTGCTGCCTTTCTATCAGGTATTTTCTGATTCATTGCAGTGCATTCCTTATTATACCTGTCTAGTCTTCCAGCTTTTGCACTAATCTCTTGTGTGGAACTGTGTCAAAAGCCTTCTTACAGTCCAAGAAAATGCAATCTACCCACTCCTGTCTCTCTTGTCTCACTGCTGTCACCTTGTCATAGAACTCCAGTAGGTTTGTGACACAGGATTTCCAGTTCCTGAATCCGTGCTGATTGTCATTGATAAGCTTATTCCTTTCTGGGTGCACTCTTCTGATAATCTTCTCCAAGACTATACATACTATGTATCTCAATGATACTGGTCTGTGGTTTAATGATGCGTGTCTGTCTTCCTTTTCAAAAATTTGGACAACATTTGCTGTCTTCCATACCTCAGGGAGCTGCTCTATTTTGATGTGTTGAAGATCGTCGTTAGTGGTACACAAAGTGCCTCTGCTCCCTCATCTCTTACACCAAATCTAAGGCGAAAACAACATCCAGTATTGAACCCCTGCTTAGACGAGATGAGACCTACACAAATGACAGCAAAGAAATGAGTGAGATACTGAAGTCGCAATATAACTCAGTGTTCGGTGAGCCGTTAACCAGACTCTGGGTCGACAATCTAAATATTTTCTTTATGACTGAGTTTCAAAATTTGGTCACTTAAAAAATGTCATTATCATAACACCACAAGACTTCGAGCTACTGGACCACTATGACAAGGTCCTGGATGCTGTAAAGGATAAACAAAATGCAGATGTAGTTTACACAGACTTTGCAAAAGCCTTCGACAAGTGCGACCATGGTGTAATATGGCACAAAATGCATGACAATGGAATAACAGGAAAAGTTGGAAGATGGATCTATATCTTCCTAACAAATAGAATGCAAAATGTAATAGTAAACAGAGTAAAGTCTGAGGTGGCTACAGTGGAAAGCTCCATTCGACAAGGCACAGTACTCACATTCTGTTCCTCATCCTCATGTTTGACATAGACAGAGATGTAAGCCATAGCTCTGTGTCTTCCTTTGCAGATGACACTAGCATTGCCATGACAGTGACCTCCATCGAAGACACCACAAGACTCCAAGCAGACATCTACCAAATCTTTAAATGGGCCACAGAAAACAATATGAAGTTCAATGAAGAGAAATTTCAACTGCTCAGATATGGAAAACTTGAGGAAATTAAAACTTTATCAGAGTATAAAACAAATTGTAATCACACAATAAAGTAAAAAACTAATTTGAAAGAACTGGGAGTGATAATGTCAGAGGATCTCACCTTGGAAGACCACAACAATGTATCTACCGCATCTCCTAGGAAAATGATAGGATGGATAATGAGAACCTTCAAAACTAGGGATGCAAAACCCATGATGATCCTCTTCAAATCGCTTGTTCTTTCTAGGCTGGAATACTGCTGTACACTAACTGCCCCCTTCAAGGCAGGTAAAATTGCTGACCTGAAGAATGTACAGAGAACTTTCACAGCATGCATAAGAACGATAAAGCACCTAAATTACTGGAAACGGTTGAAGACCCTTGATTTGCATTCCCTGGAACACAGGTGAGAAAGATACGTGATGATATACACTTGGAAAATCCTAGAGGAATTTGTACCGAACTTACCCCTCAAGGAAGGTTCCTTGATTTTGGTGAGGGGCCTTGATTTGGGGGAATTTGGGATCGGGCTCCATTTTCCCCGAATTAAACCCCTGAATGCCTTCCCATCCCCCCCCCCCCAGGGCTGAAATCCCCTGGTTAGGGCCTTCCCCCTTGATTATAATAATAAAATGTCCCGAATTTCACAAGAAAATACCCCTACAAAGCAAAAAAACCCGGAGGGGAAAGCAACATTCCCTCGTGAAAAACAGCGGGGCCATTAGTACAATTAAGAAACAACCAATAAGATCAGGAGCCCAAGACTGTTTTTTAACTGCCTCCCAGCAGACAAAGGGGGTTTTCAAAATAACCCCGTTGTTTTTTTTTCCCTACTCGATCGTTGCGCCTCTGCTCACAACGGAGGGCCAAGTTCGAATCCGTGGTACGGCTGAATAAAAATTAGGCGTGTTTCCATATAACCCTGCTGGGTGTTCCCCCCGTTAGTATAAAGGGGTCCTGGGGGTTTTGCGTTTTGTGAGGGTTGCCCCTAGGACCAAATTTGGGCGACCTAATTTGCCCAAAAATTGGATAAGAAGCGGCTTTCTTTGTAGTATGCATTGTTGTCAGATAGGCCTGTATCCCTTTGTACATGTACTTGAAAAAAATAAAGATTTTATTATTATTATTATTATTATTTTTTTATTATTTTATTTTATTATTATTTTTTAAAAAAGGCGGTGGACGGGTTTTAGTATCTGATAGCCGGGTTGTGCTTCGTACCAGTTTCGTGTTCCCCAGCAGTAACACCGGTTTACCAAACTGATCCACTCGAGGCCTCTTCTCGACTGAGCCGCTTGGGCGTTGACCCCAAAATCCTCTCCGGGCCCAAACTCCAGATAAACTCATCCCCCTTTACCTTGAGGATCTATTTGCTTAGGCCTCGTCACCTCTTTCGGGTTGTATGTATTGGTCTGCACTTGGGGGTGACCCCCCCCCTTTGGGTTTTCAGGAGTCCTATCCCCACTGTGAAATTTCCTTAAATCTCTTGTTGAGCTCCCACATACTTC